AACACCTTAGCAACATGTCTGCAGATATTGTTGAACAAGCCACCTCTTTTACGAAGTGCAATTTTGATTCCTCGTCAAATAATTTTTTGTTGAGTCTTGATAATGTGTTCAACATTAATACGTATTTATTAAGCTTCTACTATATCCCAGACACTGCTAGGTAAGAGAGCTAAATGCCGCCATGGTACACAAATTCAAACGTAACTAATTATGTCTGTACAGGATTTTCTGAATTGAAAAATAACCAACACTTTCTAATTCTCATTAGCTTGGAAATTGAAACTTTAGATATATTAGTAGAACATTGTAGTAATTTTGTGCTTTTTTTTTTAACTTAATTTGTTACTGAGTTTAATTTTAGAGACCTGTACCATTTTATTACAAAATATAGAATAGATGAGTGACCCCATTTGGATTCCATTTCAAGCAGTGTTACTTACATTTGTGCCTATATTTTCCTACTTAAGAAAGTATCTTATCTGTGTATCTTGTGCTTTATTTCCACATTAGGAAGATTTTAAATGTTTAAAAATTATTTCATTGTTATGACACATCATCTTAAACATAATGCATAAAAAAGCAAGTATACTAAGGTAGCTCAGTTTGCCTTTTATATGTATTATTAATCAGCTCAAGTGGAATTTTCATAATGCATCAACTTTAAAATGTGAGCTAATATATTAGTATCAGCTCCAAAATATCCCTAGGTGGGTATATAGTAAACTTCAAAAATTAAGTTTCATTTTTGTTTTGCTTTAAAGAGATAGGGTCTTTGTCACCTAGGGCTGGAGCTCACTGCTGAGCTCAAGCGATTCTTCCACCTCTGTCTTGCAAGTAGTTGGGACTATAGGCACGTACCACCATGCCTGGCAAATTAAATTCTTTTTAGAGATGGGGTCTGGCTTTGTTGCCCAGGTTGGTCTTGAACTCTGGCCTCCTCAGTCTTCCAAAGTGCTAGGATTACAGGCATTAAGTCACCATGCTCAGCCTACGGCTTTTATATTTGCTCAAACAGATTAAAAACTTAGGCACAAATTAATAGCCCTCTCACACACCATTCCAAAAAGACCTGGGTTGATGACTGCAGTCTACATCCCTAGTGACTGTTCTCAACGAGCCACTGGGGTTCTAAACACCTCATACTCTGCTCACTGTTTCCCTGGGATCTGCAGCTCTTTTGCCATTTTAGTGAGGCTATTTCCTAAGGATCCAGACAAAGCATAGTCCTCCTCTGCTTTCAAGACAATATAGTTCTTTTTCTTAATCATTATACTTCTATAGAAACACAAAACCCAAATTATATTATAGAAATTCAAATTTGTTGAGAATCTTTAAGAACTTTGTTTTTGCATACGTTCCCTGTAATGTAGTATAGAAAGGCAATAAGGCATCGTCTAGATCTAGGTGAAACTCGTGGATTCAGTTGCCAGCTTGTCATCTGGGTTTGAATCCTAACTCTAATACTCAGCAGCAGTGTGACTTTAAGTCATTTAAACTCTGTACCTTGTATTCCTTATCTGTAGAACAAAAATTTCAATAGTATCTACCTCACAGGTTGTTGTGAGAACGTAAATGAGTAGATGGAGGTAAAGGGCTTAGGGCTTAGAACAGTGCTGGGCACGTAGGAAGTGCAAAAAAGAAAAAAAAAAAAAAGGTATTAACCATTATTTTAAGATGGCCAGCTGACCAGGCTTGTTAGAATAATCCCCAATCTTGGAATGAATCAACTTCCCTGTTGAGAAAACAAATCAGTCTAATTATCTAATGTTCTATGTCCCAAGGCCCTCTGCCCTCTGTTCATAATAATGTATTTTTCTTTGTATATTTGACTTTGGATTCCAGTAGCAAAGTTGGTTCCTAGGTTTTGTTTTGAGACGGAGTCTTGCTTTGTCATCCTGGCTGGGGTGCAGTGGCACGATCTTGGCTCACTGCAACCTCCACCTCCTGGGTTCAAGTGATTATCCTGCCTCAGCCTCCTGAGTAGCTGGGATCACAGGCACGTGCCACCATGCCCAGCTAATTCTTATATTTTTAGTAGAGACGGGGTTTCACCAGTTGGTCAGGCTGGTCTCGAACTCCTGATCTCGTGATCCACCCGCCTCGGCCTCCCAAAGTGCTGAGATTACAGCTGTGAGCCACTGTGTCTGGTCATTCCTATGTTATCCTCTTGGGAATTTCCTGCTATGGAATCTCATTCTCAGATCTTGACCCCTTCCACCCACCAGTTAGAAGTGAAGAATGGCTGTTCCTTGAGGAAACACGGGCCCTATGTGGGGATCTACCCATTTGTTCTCTCATCCCCAATTCTCATTTCTCCAACTTGCTGGTGAAAGAGATCTTTCAGAAGTTCTTCTTGCTTAGGCAACCTGGGTCAATGCCTAGTGCCTTCTTACTGTATGTATGGTTCAAAACATTATGTCATCGAGTTTGCAGTATGAGATATGATCTTTCTTTAGTCTTCTTTGAGACAAGACCTTCCCTCAAGTTTTGTTACATTTGTTCACTGTAGATATATTTCAAGTGGAGAAATTCAGTCAACACATACTCACTGCAGATAGTCATCTAATGTTTCTAATGCCAAACATCTAAGCTGTCTTTCCCTTTGTAGAACTATAACATCCCCATTCTTAGCCCAATTATTGAGGTTAATCTGCCTCTATAGCTGGGTTTCAGGGGGAATCTAGTATAACCCAACACATGTATTTTAGCCCCTTGATCACCTGTACTAACTTACAGGAACCAGATGAGTTTGAAATTGCTGTGGTCTACCACATAGAGGCTCAATCCAGCATTCATTTAAATAAGTATATAAAAAATAAGGCCAAATGTGAAAGTCTGCCTAGGAAAAACTGGAGTCTGCTTATTGTACTCTCTCTCTTAAAATACTCCCTTCAGATAAGCCCATGCTGAAATAGGATAGGTCTATTGCTAGTAGCACCCATTCCAATCACCAGGACAGTTTATTAGCCTTTTATCTCTAGAGAAAATACGAATCAATGGTCCCTAAAAGCTGACACACTGGCATGTGTCAGTGATAACATCTCCACCAGGCCATAGCATTCTTCTCAGGTAAGTTCTACTACTATATGCCAATGAGCAAAGCCTTGAGCCAAGTCCTAGGTATGAGTGGTGTTAGGGCTCAGAACATGATACCCCAAACTATGGTGCTTTAGCATGGTAAGTACTTTAAACTAAGAGAGATTAGAAGGCCTTAGAAGCAGCATCAGAACCAAGGTCTCTGACCTTTTCCTGCCTTCCTGCTTCTTGCTCCTCTCTTCTCTAAAGTAAGCTGTAAAACCTAGAAATATTATTCCAACCTTCCCCCACCTTACTATGTCCTAAGACCCTCCTTCGATAAGGGTCCTGCCCCATGCCCAGGAAGAAGGAAAGCTACACAGAAAGACCCCAAGAAAGACCTGAACAGACAGGCCTTGCAGGTTTCTTCAGTTTATTACCACTAGATCACACCTGTTCATCCAATCACGTTTCTACATGGCTGTCCATTCTTCCATTCTTCATCAAACATAAGCATAAAAATAGACAGTTTTACCTGCCTATTTGAGTCTTCATTTCCGAAGGCTCCCATGTCACGTAAAACTTGGATTAAATACGTTTGTTGTGTTTTTCTCTTGTTAACCTGTCTTTTGCTATAGGAGTGTTGGTTGTGACCCTTATGATGGATGAGGAAAGGTATCACATCTTTCTGCCCCTACAGAGGCCACTGAGAGAGGCTGCTCTGAAACTTCCTTCCTCCTCTCACTAACTGGGCAACAAGTATGAATTTTCCCCCAGATTATTCAGGGAGAAGGCAAGAGAAGTAACTGAAGGCATGGAAGGCATTGTTCTATGGCTTTTAGGTGTGCTCACGATATACTGGAACAGTATTATGTAGCTTTCACTATAGCTAGCATACTTAAATGTCATCAAATTTACACAGAAAGGATGAGGACAAAAAAAAAAGTCCTAGAATAAGTTGACGTTTGAACTCTAATCTGTGGTGAACAGACTCCCAAGATGACAAACTTATATCCAGACCACAATTAAATGGCAAACATTACAGAATGGAAACTGTTTATAAATTTCTACATTTAGATTTTCAAAACTATATCCTAGTAAAATGCTGCCAACTTTCTTCTGATGTGAAGGATTGTCCTTTATTCTAATTATAGATCTCTCTTGGTGTAAGGTAAAAATATTCTTTCTTTTTTGACATTAGGTTGATAGTAAGATAGTAGAGTTTATTTTGCCCAGTGCATGTTAAAAACTGTCAAACTTAGGTTGGACCTGTCCTTTTAATTTTTTAATATTGAGAGTCCATATTAAGTGGTACAAAAGCTTGGAGACCACTGAAACACAGTGCAGGCTGAACAAATTTCCATTCCCAGTGCTAGCCATAAGTTACTCATGCCTGACATTTACAGAAAAAAAAAAAAAAAAAAAAAATTGTAAACTAATTATCTTTCATTAATTAAAAGAACATATTTTACTTTATATGTTTCCTTAAGATTTTAATTAAAATACAGTAGTTCTCCCTTACCCGTGGCAGATGTTAAAAGACTCCCAGTAGATGTCTGAAATCTTAGGTAGTGCTAAATCCGATATAGACTGCTTTTTCCCCCATACATAAATATCTATGATAAAGCTTTATTTACAAATTAGGCACAGTAAGAGGTTAACAACAATAAGTAATAAAATAGAACAATTATAACAACATACAGTAATAAAAGTTATGTATATGAAATCTTTCTTTCTCTCAAAATGTCTTGTACTGCATTCTACCCATTTAATATTTTTGGACCACAGTTGACTGTGGGTAGCTAGAACTGTAAAAAGCAAAACTGCAGATAAGGATGGACTACTATGATTGAAAGAAGTATGCCACACAGAATGTTACAAAAATACCAAAGAATTATAGGCAGACAGCAGATAATGAGAATTCTTTTAAAAAGAGACACAAAATAGACAAGAAAAAAAACCATTTTTATATACACTATTTGTACCTTAATTATAAACCGTGGCAGTAAAAGCTTTCCGAACATTGGCAAGAAAAGCTGAAAAATTGTTGGTCTTCCTTACATTCTCTTGAAATTCTGCTAGGCCCTCAAGATGAGGGGCACTATCTGACACTAGGGGAAAAAAAAAAAAAAAAATCAAAGACAATTAGAATGAGATTTTTTACGGCAGAGAAGTGTTTCTAATTTAGATGCTCTCATCTGGTTTGAATGTCAATTCCATCTTAATGAAATTCTTTGAGCAAAAAAAGATACACTTGATTTTCACATGCCAACTATCTTTTGGACTTTTCCTTCATTTCATCTCTAAATATTCAAATCTGAAGTACTATAATCTTGCTTTAAATTTAAACAGATGGCACTCAAGGATTGAGAGTTTAGTGATGCAGAATGACCCTGCCCATCATCTTAAACCTATATATTTTGTTTTAACTATTTAAACTTTTTTTAAAACTGTTAAGTCATTTTTATCTGCAAAACTTTGGTCTGACTGACTTTTCATTTCTGACCACTGGATTTGAGGAAAAAAAAAAAAAAAAGAACAATTTTTTTTTTTTTTTTTTTTTGAGACAGAGTCTTGATTTGTCACCAAGCCTGGAAGTGCAGTGGTGCGATCTCAGCTCACTGCAACCTCCACTTCCTGGGTTCAAGCAATTTTCTTGCCTCAGCTTTCTGAGTAGCTGGGATTACAGGTAACACGCATGTGCAGCTAACTTATATATTTTTAGTAGAGACAGGGTTTCGCCATGCTGCCCAGGCTGGTCTTGAACTCCTGACCTCAAGTGATCCGCCCTCCTCTGCCTCCCAAAGTGCTGTAATTACAGGCGTGAGCCACCATGCCCAGCCTGAAAAAAGAACAATTTTCAGTGCCCAGCATTAATAATTTACAATTATGAAAGAAATATCTAGAATTTTCCAAGTGAAATGGCAGGCATTAGAAAATGTGGTTGCTATTCCAAGAGTGGTATTTACAGGGGCTATTAATCAAATGAGACTCAAAGTCACAAATAACAGTATTATTCTTGCATGTAGTTGTACCAGCTGGTACACTGGGACAAGTCTCCAGTGAAAGTGGTCAAAGGAAAAGAAATTCACCCATTATCAGATTTCCAGCTCTCGGGTACAGACTGCTTAGGAAACAAGGTCCATGACCACAGCAGAGAAACAACAGCAAAGGGCATCCATTCCAAAATGTATCCTGTATATTCTATTTTAATATACTATCATGTACTATCAGATTATACCATAAGAGAATATCCAATTTAGAGAAAATTGAAAAGCTAGATAAGAGGTTTTTGGGGCTTGCTTTTTAAAATCTAGCACTAATTAGATTGGAAGATATTTATCTAGAGAGAAAAAAACTCAAACATCTGTATATGAATCAGATTCTCAAAATATAAATTCCCTAGGAATAGGAACTGAGCCACCAGGGCATAGGGCTGTGCCAGCTCAGCAGTTCATCTGAGTGTCTGTCAGCTACAAAGGCTTTAAGATGATAGCACAGGTGTAATGAGCTGAGAACCATTTTTATGAATTCCAATAAATTAAGGATTACTCGTACAGGGGCATTAGAAGAATAAACAAGAGATAAACATATTTCTATTCCCTTCTTGTTCACATTATTATCAAAGATATATATTCCTTATAAATCAAAGGCCTTTTGGCCAGCTGCAGAATCGGTAACTAACCTTTATTATCAATGGGTGAGATCTGCAGGATGAAATAGTTTTTCAAAAATGTATTTTTGGGAAAATAAATTGTTAAATTCTGGTGATTTTACATTTGACTTTAAAATTATCTACTTGGATAAGTTCTAATATTCACATTTAAGCAGTCATATTCTTTAAAGCTTCAGTTTTTTAAAAAGTTATCTAAAAGGAAAATTCATATTTGCACATGAATGCAGTGATTTTGTTTTTAGATTTTTCAGACACTCTGGCACTGTGCCATCCTGAACAGATGCTACTTATTAAGGATCCTAGACAATATCTATAAATCAAGACTATATTCACTTCCTTTAGAAGACTATAACCCAAGAAGCAAGACTGAAAAAGGAAGCAATAGAGTCTGGAGCTATTGCTTTCCTCCATATTACTTTATATTCTGATTGAAATAACATTTTGGAATGCCAATCTTAAATACCAGTTAGGAGATATTAGTACATACCTTCATAGTCCCTTGCTTCATTTAGATGCAGGGAAAACATAAATGGGCTCTCAGGATTCTTAGGGTCAATATTAGTGAATATAAACTGCAATTTCTCACCTGAAAAGAGATTGAACTATTTAGTGTGTCAAAGCTTTCAATAGCGATACCCTTTCTTACTCCATCTTGGATCAATATCTGCACTGCTAAGTATGTACAGTCACGTAACCAACATTTCCAAATGTAGAAGTTACAAATTCGTTTTAAAATATATTATAGTTTCAATATGACATCAAAAATACAGTCAACAAAAGAAAAGCTAGATAAATTGGACTTTGTTAAAATTAAAAACTTTTGTCCTTCAAAGAACACTATCAAGAGAAGGAAAAGACAACCTAAAGAATGGGAGAAAATATTTGCAAATCATTTATCTGACAAAGGTTGAATACATAGAATGTATTTAAAACTCCTACAACTAAAAACCACCCAATTCAACAATGGGCAAAACACCTGAAAGAACATTTCTCCAAAGAATATATAAAAATGCCCATTAAGTACCTGAAAAGATGTTCAACATCATTAGTCATTATGTAAATGCAAGCCGAAACTACAATGAGATACCATTTCATACCCAGTAGGATGGCAAATAAATAAATGGAAAATAACAGTGTTGGTGAGGATGTGGAGAAACTGGAACCCTAGTACATTGCTGGTAGAAATGTAAAATGGTACAGCCACTGTGAAAAACACTTTGGCAGATCCTCAAAAAGTTTAAATATAGAATTACAATATGACCCAGCAATTCCACTCCTAAGTATATATCCAAAAGAATTGAAAACAGAGACTCAAGTAGATGACTGTATGCCAATGTTCATAGCAGCATTATTCATAGTAGCCAAAAAGTGGAAGTAACCCAGTTCCACTAACAGATGAATGGATATAGTATATACATACAATGGAACATTGTTCAGCCATAAAATGGAATGAACTTGGCAGCTGTGGTCTTTTTTATGATTCACTAGGAGAACTCATAGGATTCACTCAGCAGCAAATGGCCATACTCAGGGCTATGGTTTATTACAGCAAAAGGATATAACAAAATCAGCAAAGGGAAATGGTACATGGGGTACAGTCCAAGGAGAACCAGGTACAAGCTTCCAGAGCCTCTAATGAGCTTCCTGGTAGACAACACTTCACGTGTGTTGTCACAATTTGATGCTGAAGGAATTCGCACATCCTGTTTGACTGTACTGGGTTAGGACTCTTGAAAGCTTGTGCCAGGTTTCCTGTAGACTTTGCTCCATGTGCTATTGTTTCTTTGCTGATTCTGTTCTGTATCCTTTTGCTGCAGTAAATCTTAGCCATGAATATGACTATATGCTAATTCCTTCTAGTGAATCACTAAAGCTAAGAGTGATCTTGGGAAGCCCAGACATAACAGACATTGGCATACATTAGCGATGTACATGTGATATACATGCAACAGGCATCAAAATATTCATGTGTTTTGCCTAGCAATTCCTCTCTGGGAAACAATACTATGAAAAACCATACAAAGAAAACAGGAAAGTCAATGCTCACTGGTTTACAATAGTCCCCCTTTATCCACCAGGGAAAAATACATTCCAAGACCCTCAACAGATGCCTGAAACCACGGATAGTACCAAACCCTATGTAAACAGATGCTCCTTGACTTACAATGGCATTACGTGCCAATAAACACATCAAAAGTCAAAAACCTTGTAGGGCAAAAATGCACTTACCACCCTGATACACTGATTATAAAGTCAAAAAATTGTAAGTTGAACTATCGTAAGTCAGGAACTGTCCATACTATGTTTTTTCCTATACATATGTACCTATGATAAAGTTTAAGTTGTAAATTAGGTATAGGAAGAGATTAATAACAACTAATAATAAAATAGAACAATTAGAACAACATACTGTAATAAAAGTTATAGTTATCTGAATGTGGCTTCTCTCCCTCTCAAAATATCTTATTGTACTATACTCATCCATTTAATATTGTCAGACCATGGTTGAACATAGGTAACAGAAACCGTGAATAAGGGGGGATACCTGTATTTCTAAAACTGAAAAAACTGGCAGATTCCAAATGTTGGTAGAAGCAAAATATGTGTTAAACAATAGATAAATGGTTGAATAAATTACGCTACATTAATAGAATGAATTATTATAGCACTATTTAAAAATTACCATTATGAAGGCTATAGCAACTGAGGAAATGCTCATAATACAATGTTGATAGGAACAACAAAAATTATTTACATGTTGACAATCCTGCCAAAAATACATTTATTAAAATACTGAATGATAAATAACTAGAGCATCAGTAACTATGTTAGAATAATTTAAAAATTGTAATTTTTTCCTATTTTCTAAAAAGTTAATGTCATTATTTTAGTTGAAAATATTTTTTAAATTCTCCTTTATTTAAGAAAAGACATACTTTGTAATCTCCTGTGTTTTATTTATATTAATGAACTTACCATAAATTTTTCGAATTTCTAGTCCAAGTCGATCTTTATACAAGTCTGCAGATTTCTGCAGCCTTTTCAACCTCTCTGCATTCGCTTTATTAGCAGTAGAAATAGCTGTGATTTAAAAACACACACATACTAAATGTTTTAAATAGTAAATTAATGCTCACTGAGTTAATTTTTTAAACTTAAAATCAACTATAAAATGATGCCAAGCCTATAAATCTGCTTTCATTTATTGTTTCTATGTTTACCAGTTAGCTAAAAGAAGTTTTTGTTCATTCAAGTTGGAAGGAAAAACTGCCCAAGAAAATGTATACAGATAGTGAGAAGAATAAGCCTTGTCGTGCTTTATTATGTAGTAGCACAAATAAATAGGCCGGGGATTCGTATGGCTGGCATAGAAATAAACAGACTTCATTTACACTATTGTGCTTTTCCTAGATAACCAATTGCTTCATGGGAAAATGTTCTATTCCTTTAAGTGTAACTATTTCTAGAGGTCAGCCTTATTTCATGAAAAAAAAAAGTTTTTTGTTTTTCTTTTTTTTTAAGTTAGTACAATAGTCCCTAAGTATACTTTAAAGTAGCACAATAGTCCTTAAGTAATGAGAAAAACAATTTCACAATTTAGACTTGGTTAAGAACTCCACATGAAAAAGCATTAACAAAACAAACTTTGCTATTTTCAGGAGATTTGAAGAACAGATTGCCTAGTTTGTGAGCAAACAAGGCTCCTCTCCTTTCTAAAAGATGCATTCATCTGAATATGAAAGTTCTTTATACAAAAGAGATTTTGCAGCATAAAAAGAGCACTTAATATTACCTAGCAGAGAATGTATGGTCAATAAATATTTGTTGCGTAAAGTACACTATGGCTTGTCCAAAGCAAATTTTATTTAGGGACACCACTTCTCACTCTGCTTAATTAAAACCTTTTATCAGCCAGGTATGGTGGCTCACGCCTGTAATCCCAGCACTTTGGGAGGCTGAGGCAGGTGGATCACCTGAGGTCAGGAGTTCGAGACCAACCTGGCCAACATGGTGAAAACCCTGTCTCTACTAAAAATACAAAAATTAGCCAGGCGTGGTGGCAGGTGCCTGTAATCCCAGCTACTTGGGAGGCTGAGGCAGGAGAATTGCTTGAACCTGGAAGGTGGAGGTTGCACTGAGTCAAGATCGTGCCATTGTGCTCCAGCCTGGGCAACAAGAGTGAAACTCTGTCTCAGGAAAAATAAATAAATAAATAAATAAATAAATAAATAAATAAAACCTCATATCAATTTCATTATTACTGATTACATTAAAAAATCACAAGAGAAGGCCCTTTAAGTTAAGGAAATAAAACCCAGTTAGCTAACTTTAATGACATCTTGCAGAGATGAGTGGCTGGTTATGCCCTGAGGTACTGTAATCCATTTTTAGCAATGAACTTGAACAGGCAAGATGTACTTAATAATGGTGAACCGTCACCACTTTCCATTTTAGATCAGTATGTTTACAACAGGAAACTTACTTTCCTTCTTCCTAGAATATTCTTCCTTAAGATCCTGGATATTTGCAGTCAGTACTTCCAATTCCTGCTTTTTGCCTTTTACTTCAGCAATCAATTTTAACAAGTTATCCTTTTTTTCTTGAATGAGCTTATTTTGCCTCCTGATCTCTGTAAGAAGCACAAGGTATTAGCTAGAATATGCTTTGCTCTCTGACATGTATCTAAGAAAAAGCCAAAGTTTACTTTCATAAAGATTAATAAAGAACGTTTCGACTGCTAAGCATTTTCTAATGATTCAAAATTTATAAAAGACAAAAAAGAAAAAAAATCCTAATCTATTTTTTCCTACTCGTCTTTAAAAAAGTGAGACAGAAAAGCTTCTTAAAATGAGAATACCAAATTAAACCAAGAAACAGAAAATCAAAAGATCATGACTTTTGCAGCTCCCCACTCCCAATAAGTACAGAAATAAAAACTACCAACAAAGATAACCAAACTCTATTTTTTATTTTTATATTTTTTTGAAACAGGGTCTCGCTGTTGCCCAGGTTGGAATGCAGTGGCACAATCACTACTCCTTGCAGCCTCCCACCTTAGCCTCCTGAGTACCTGGGACTACAGGCACATGCCACATCACGCCTGGCTGATTTTTAAACTGTTTTGTCTCACTATGTTGCCCAGGCTAGTCTCAAACTCTTAGGCTCAAGCAATCCTCCTACCTCAGCCTCTCAAAGTGCTGGGATTACCAGGGCTAGCCACCACGCCTGGCCAACAACCAAACTCTAGAAGATGGCTTTACACAGTGCTTTGAGGAAAAGGCTCACTCTAATGCTATATACATTATTCTGGAACATACCAAAAGACAGAAATAAGTGAAGGAAGACAGGTGGGCAGGCAAAGCTTACAATGTAAGCATAATTCTAAAGCTAAAACAAAAAATTAAAGATAGCACTGGCCCTCTACCCACAACTATATAAACTAATCTCACTTAAAAACATAGGTGCAAAGATGCTCAACAAAATATTAACTTACATTAAAAATAGTCCACCAAGAGCAAATATAGTTTATTCTAAGGATTTTATATAGTGAAGGTGTAATATTAGGAAAATCTATCACATGAATAAAAATTGAAGGAACATTTCATGTGAATTCAGCATCCACTCCTGACACTGATTCTTAAACTATAAATGGAAGGACATTTAACATGATAGAAACAAATCAAAAAACCTTTCAAATCTCATAATATATATTTGGCATTTCCAAAAGGAATAAAATAGATGCCAGTTAGCACAGTTATTTAATATTTCCCTAGAAGTTTCTGGCCAAGAAGAAAAAAAAAGAACGATTTTTCATTATATGTAGACAATATACATCTATCTAGAATACTCAGAAAAATCTGCTGAAAACCTATCAGAATTTGTGGTACTACACACCAAAAAAATCAATAGTTTTTGTACATAACACCAGTGATTAATACATAGGTAAGAATAGATGTTTATACTAATATTAATAGCTGTAATATTCGTTTTTGCGCTTTGTTTTTATTGGTTTTATTAGTTTTTGCTATTCTGTGCTATTTTTAAGTACTGGCATACCCTGGCGATATTGCAAGTTCTATTCCAGATCACTGTGATAAAACGAATATTGCAAAAAAGCAAGTCACACAAATGTTTTGGTTTCCCAGTACATAGAAAAGTTATTTTACACTATATTGTAGTCTATTAGGCGTGCAATAGCATTATGGCTAAAAAACCAATGTACATATCTTAATTAAAAATATTTTATTGCAGGCCGGGCGCGGTGGCTCAAGCCTGTAATCCCAGCACTTTGGGAGGCCGAGACGGGCGGATCACGAGGTCAGGAGATCGAGACCATCCTGGCTAACATGGTGAAACCCCGTCTCTACTAAAAATACAAAAAACTAGCCGGGCGAGGTGGCAGGCGCCTGTGGTCCCAGCTACTCGGGAGGCTGAGGCAGGAGAATGGCGTGAACCTGGGAGGCGGAGCTTGCAGTGAGCTGAGATCCGGCCACTGCACTCCAGCCTGGGCGACAGAGCGAGACTCCGTCTCAAAAAAAAAAAAAAATATTTTATTGCAAAAAAATGTTAATAATCATCTGAGCCTTCAGTAGGTCCTAAACTTTTGCAGGGGGAGGGTCTTGCCTTGATGTTAATGGCTGCTGACTGATCAGGGTGGTAGTTGCTGAAGGCTGAGGTGGCTGTGGCAATTTATTACAATAGGATAACAACAAAGTTTGCTGCATCAATCAACTCTTTCATGAAAGATTTCTCTGCAGCATACAATGGTGTTTGACAGCATTTACCCCTGGTAGAACTTCTTTCAAAATGGGAGTCAGTCTTCTCAAACCTTGCTGCTACTTTATCAACTAAGTTTACGTAATAGTCTAAATCCTTCGTTGTCAGTTAAACAATGTTCACAGCATCTTCACCAGGAGTGGATTCCATTCCATAATACCACTTTCTTTGCTCATCCATAAGAAGCAACTCCTTATCCACTCAAGTTTTATCATGAGATGGCAGCAATTCGGTCACATCTTCAGGCTCCACTTCTAAATCTAGATCTCTTGTGATTTCCACCACATCTGTAGTTACTTTCTCCATTGAAGTCTTGAACCTCTCAAAGTCATCCATGAGGGTTAAAATCAACTTCTTCCAAGTCATTGTTCATGTTGATATTTTGACCTCTTCCTGTGAATCATGAATGTTTTATGGCATCTAGAATGGTGAATCCTTTCTCTGGAAGGTTTTCAATTTATTTGGCCCAGATCCATCAGAGGAAATCACTATTTGTGGTAGCTATAGCCTTATTTCTTAAGTAATGAGACAAGAAAGTCAAAATTACCCCTTGATCCATGGGCTGCAGAACGGATGTTGTCTTAGCAGGCATGAAAACAACATTAATTTCCATCAGCACTCTCGGGTGATCAGATGCATTGTTAATAAGCAGGAATATTTTGAAAGGCATCTTTTTTCCTGAGCAGAAGTTCTCAACAGTGGGCCTAAAATATTCAGTAAACTATGCTATATACACATGTGCTGTCATCCAGGCTTTGCTGTTCCATTTATAGAACATAGGCAGAGTAGATTTAGTACAATTCTTAAGGGCCCTAGGATTTGGGGAATGGCAAGTGAGCACTGGCTTCAACTTACAGTCACCAGTTGCATTAGTCCCTAAAAACAGTCAGCCTGTCCTTTGAAGCTTCAAAGCCAGGTGTTGACTTCTCTCTAGCTATGAAAGTCTTAGATGGCATCTTCTTCCAATAGAAAACTGTTTCATCTACATCAAGAATCTGTTCTTTAATGATCTGTTCATTCAATGATCTTAGCTAGATAATTTGCTGTAGCTTCTACATTAGCACTGCTGCTTTCATCTTGTACTTTTATGTTATGGAGGCAGCTGCTTTCCTTAAATCTCATGAACCAACTTCTGCTAGCTTCAAACTTTTCTTCTGAAACTTCCTCATCTTTCTCAAGTCTTCACAGAATTGAAGAGGGCTAGAGTCTCACCCTGGATTAGGCTTTTGCTTAAGTAAATGTTGTGGTTGGTTTGCTCTTATATTCAGGCCACTAAAACTTTCTCTACATTAACAATAAGGCTGTCTCTCTCTTATCATTCATGTGTTCACTGAATTAGCACTTTTGTTAACTGGCGCAAGAGGCCAAGCTTTCGGCCTTTCTCAGCTTCTAACACACTTTCCCACTAAGCTTAATCATTTCTAGCTTTTGCTTTAAAGTGAGAGACCTATGACTCCTTCTCTCAGTTGAACACTTAGAGGTCACTATAGGGTTATTAACTGGCCTAATTTCAATACTGCTGTGTCTCAGGGACTAGGGAGGCCCAAGGAGAGGAAGAATGACAGGAATGGCTGGTCGGTGGAGCAGTCAGAAGTCACTCAACATTTATCCATTAAGTTCGTCATCTTATATGGGTGTCATTCATGGCACTTAAAACAATTACAACAGTAATGTAAAAGATCACTGATTATAGAGCACCACAAGAAATATAATAATGATAAGTTTGAAATCTTGTGAGAATTACCAATATGTGACAGACATGAAGTCAGCACATGCTGATGGAAAAACGGTGCCCATAGACTTGCTTGACACATGGTTGCCATTAACCTTTAATTTGTAAAAATTGCAATATCTGTAACGTGCAATAAGGGAAGTGCAATTCAACAAGGTATCCATGTACCAAAATACTGGCCTTTTACATCTGTCTCACATATTGGCCAGCACCTCATTACTCCTTCTTGGCTTTAATCCCTCTACCCTCCCTGCCTTCCCCATGTCCCTGTCATTATCTGTACAAGTTCTTCTTGCCCTAGCCCTCTTAAACACTCAGCTTCTGCAACTACCCACCCCTTTCTCCTGCACATGCTCAAAATAAAAACAATAATGCCTGTGCATAAACCTGGCCAGACCTCTCTGCTGGGAGAATAACCCTGGCACGGCCACTTCTTCCTCTGTTTGTCAGAAGAAAGATACAACTGCTGCTACTTGGGGCCCACTGCCCAGAGACAGTGTCCCCAAAGTGTCCATCAGGGGACTAAACAAGGCAGGAAGGCACAAAAAGCCTAAGAGTTCTAGAGCAGAAGTTACCAAGGTCAAATAACCAGCGGCAGTAGAGCTCAAGGGTGCTTTATAATGTGCTTTTGAATTTTTGAGTTAAAGATTTAGTTTTACTAATACTTAAATGAAATCTAAACACTTTAAAATCAAATGTCAGTTAGTAATACCAGTAGTCTAGAATTGTATCAAATAAACTAAACTATCTACACTATCATTTAATTCCAGTATTTTAATTACAAGTAAATATGTGCTCCACAGTTGAGTAATTTTGTTCTCAAAGTTAAACAAGTTAGTCCACCACCAAATTTATGAAGACTTTAAATACCATAAATCTTCAAAAGAGAAATACACTATGATCTGTTTCTCAAATCGAAGTGAGCATGGAATTCTCAGTGCTTGAACAACATCTCTCAAGACAAGCATTCCTCAGGCAACAGGGAATTCTCGTTTACAGAGGTAACAAACAGAAAATTCAGAATCAACCTAGATCAAGAAATATGTAGCCTCTGTTTGAAAAAAACTGCAAAGCTTGTCTGAGACACATATTTGATCTGGATATATGAAGAGATATTTTAT